TGAAGGGGTCCCCCTTCAGTTCCCCAGCCACCTGGTTCACCCGGTTCATCCTCCCTTCCCGAAGCTAGCCCTCAAGGCAGGAGCAGCCGGCGCCTTCGGCAGAAGAGGAGAAGGAGGAGGAGAGGGAGGAGGAATCGCGTCGGGCGGAGCTTCAGGTCCTGTTCTCCTCTCCGGCTTCTCCATACAAAGATTACGGTGCAGAAGGAAATTGCACTCGCCTCCTCCGCCCCCCGGTACCCAGCACAATGCACCAGCCGCCGGGCGCACCCGGCAGTGTTCCCTCGAAGGGGCAGCGGTGGTGGCAGCGCCTCTGCTCTCAATGCAGCAGGTACCGGCGTCAGTAGTGCTGCTCCATCTTCTGAGGATTTTCCTCCTCCTTCGCTGCTCCAGCCGCCGCCTCCTGCTGCATCTTCCTCGCAGGGACCACAGCCTCCGCCTCCACAAAGCCTGAACCTCCTCTCGCAGGCTCAGCTGCAGGGACAGCCTCTTGCGCCGGGCGGAACTCAGATGAAAAAGAAAAGTGGCTTCCAGATAACTAGCGTTACTCCGGCCCAGATCTCTGCCAGCATCAGCTCTAACAACAGCATCGCAGAGGACACGGAGAGCTATGACGATCTGGATGAGTCTCACACAGAAGACCTATCTTCTTCCGAGATCCTTGATGTGTCACTTTCCAGGGCCACTGACTTGGGTGAGCCTGAACGCAGCTCCTCAGAAGAGACTCTGAATAACTTCCAGGAAGCTGAGACACCCGGGGCAGTCTCTCCTAACCAGCCCCACCTTCCTCAGTCTCATTTGCCTCACCTCCCACAACAAAACGTTGTGATCAATGGGAATGCTCATCCACACCACCTCCATCACCACCATCACATTCATCATGGGCACCACCTTCACCATGGACACCACCATTCATCCCATGCTGCTGTGGCCAGTTCGTCCATCCCTGGAGGGCCACCCTCGAGCCCAGTGTCCAGAAAACTCTGTACCACTGGAAGTTCTGATGGTGGTGTGCCAGTTGCACCTACTTCTGCTGTATCATCGAGTGGCTTGCCCGCATCTGTGATGACTAACATCCGGGCTCCAAGTACTACAGGCAGCATAGGTATAAATTCGGTTACTGCTGGCACAAATGCAACGAGTAATGTTAACATTGCTGCTGTGGGTAGTTTCAGTCCTAATGTGACGAGCAGCGTGCATGGCAATGCTAATATAAGTACAAGCAATATTCCTAATGCTGCTAGTGTAAGTGTTGGGCCTGGAGTTGCCAGTGCTGTTAATGTGAATGTCTTGAGTGGCATGGGCAATGGTACTGTGTCTTCCTCTCCTGTTGCTAACAGTGTCCTTAATGCAGCTGCAGGTATCACTGTGGGAGTGGTTTCAAGTCAGCAGCAGCAACAGCAACCGACAGTTAACACGTCAAGGTTCAGAGTTGTGAAGTTAGACTCTACCTCTGAGCCCTTTAAAAAAGGTAGATGGACTTGCACTGAGTTCTATGAAAAAGAAAATGCCCTGCCGGCTACAGAAGGCTTGGCGATTAATAAAGTGGTGGAGACTGTGAAACAAACCCCCACGGAAGTGTCTTCGGAGAGGGAGAGCACCAGCGGGAGTTCAGTGAGCAGTAGTGTCAGCACACTGAGTCACTACACAGAGAGTGTGGGAAGCGGAGAGATGGGAGCCCCTGCTGTGGTGGTGCAGCAGCAGCCGCAGCCACCACCACCACCACCACCAGGTCTTCAAGGTGTGGCCCTCCAGCAGATAGATTTCAGTAGCCCTGGTCCACAGAGTATTGCAGCAGTTAGTATACCACAGAGTATTTCTCAGTCACAGATGTCACAAGTACAATTACAGCCTCAAGAGTTGAGCTTTCAGCAGAAGCCAGGTCTTCAGCCTGTACCTCTGCAAGCCACTATGAGTGCAGCCGCCGGTATCCAGCCTGCCTCCGTCAATGTGGTTGGTGTAACGTCAGCTGTAGGTCAACAGCCTTCCATTTCCAGTTTGGCTCAACCCCAACTGCCGTATTCTCAGACAAGTCCTCCAGTGCAAACTCCTCTTCCAGGGGCACCACCCCAACAGTTACAGTATGGGCAGCAGCAACCAGTGGTTTCTACACAGATAGCTGCAGGCCATGGCCAGTCAATGACTCAAAATCCTACTGCAGAGTATGTACAGCAGCAGCCAATTCTTCAGGTGGCGATGTCCTCTGGACAGTCCAGTTCTGCAGGAGCAGCAGCAGGAACGTCAGGGATTCCTGTGGCTCAGCCACAGGGGATCCAACTGCCAGTGCAGCCCACAGCAGTACAAGCACAACCTGCAGGGGCATCTGGGCAGCCCATTGGCCAGGCTCAAACAGCAGTGTCTGCTGTACCAGCTGGCAGTCAAATTGCAAATATTGGTCAACAAGCAAACATGCCTACTGCAGTCCAGCAGCCATCTACCCAAGTTACACCTTCAGTTATCCAGCAAGGTGCTCCTCCATCTTCACAAGTAGTTCTACCTGCTGCAGCTGGCATTATTCATCAGGGAGTTCAAACTAGTGCTTCAAGCCTTCCTCAACAACTGGTTATCGCACCCCAGAGTACCTTGTTAACTGTGCCTCCCCAGCCGCAGGGAGTAGAAACAGTGGTTCAAGGAGTTGTTTCCCAGCAGTTGCCCGCAGGTAGTCCTTTGCCCTCTGCTAGTAGTGTTTCTGTTACAAATCAGGTTAGTTCAGCTGGTCCTGCTGGAATGCCTTCTGCCCCACCAAACTTAGTTCCACCACAGAATATAGCACAACCCCCGGCTACCCAAAATGGCAGTTTGGTTCAGAGTGTTAGTCAATCTCCCTTGATAGCCACTAACATAAATTTGCCTTTGGCACAGCAGATACCACTAAGTTCTACTCAGTTCTCTACACAATCATTAGCTCAGGCAATTGGAAGCCAAATCGAAGATCCCAGGCGCCCAGCGGAGCCCTCCTTAGTCGGCTTACCTCAGACTATCAGTGGTGACGGTGGGGGAATGTCAGCAGTTTCAGATGGGAGTAGCAGCAGCCTAGCAGCCTCTGCTTCTCTCTTCCCGTTGAAGGTGCTACCGCTGACAACACCCCTGGTGGATGGCGAGGACGAGAGGTAAGAGCGTGTGCTTCTGCGGACACCAAGCAGTTGAGAGTCAGTCTCTTAGTGGTCATGTGTGTGGGTACATTTAGTCTGAAGCATCATAGCTTTTGGGTTGCATGTGAAAAGTGCATATTCATGGTAAGTCTTCCAGAGTAAGAGTGTTAATGACTTCAGAGTGGGTGGAGAGTAGACTAGGTTAGGAAAGTAATGTTCACGATAGTTACAAAGTGCAAGCCTATATTACAGATAGGCTTGGGGCTGCCAGGTAGAATTTATTATTTTAAAGTGCCTCTAAGAAGATAAATTATGAAAAGCAGCTTACATTTTGTTACCCTACGAAATAGTTAAGATATTCTTTTGAGCTACTAAAATCTTTGTGATCATTTCTTGTCAGGGGTGGGGGGTGGTTGTGGTTCCCACGTTTGTTCCTGCCATACAGCCCTTTTCTGTTCTAGTACGTTTGATCTTAGGCTGTGAAAGATACTGTTACCTGCCTGTCCTCCCAAGGCACTGTGGGAAAGATGACCTAATCTGGGTGATATAGGTTGTCCTTACACTGTTAGTGACCAGCTTTTGTAAACTTAATTTAATGGTTACTTTACCGGAACAAAGGAGGAATACAAGTCTTAAGGCGTGTTTTTCAAGGTCAGTAATACCTTGATTTATCCTTGATAGTGAGTAATGCTGTAGTTTTTCTTTTAATAGTAGATGAAGGTGGTAGCCATTTTAAAGAGTGAAATCGGTCTTAAAGGGCTGATTTTAACAGGCTAATCTGTCCCACCTGTTTCTACTCTCACCAAAACACAGTTAAAAGTCAAGCCAGTATTAAGCCAGCATTTTCTTTTTCACTTATACTAATCACATTTAGTGAATGAGGCTGGCTAGAAAAGCTGTGAACTTGTGTTCCTACATTGCTTTAATATTAGTTTTTTTTTTTTTTTTTAAAGGAATGTTCTTTTTGCAAGTTTGCCAGTATTTACGGTGATAAGAAGTGTAGTAGTTGTAAAAAGACTTCTTTTTCACTGTGGAATTTTGAAAAAGTATTTAAGATAGTTAATTAGTATGTGTTGGAGACTTTTGACATTGAATTTTCACCATTCCAATTGAAGCGTTTATATTCCATATGTGTATTTGTGGGTTTACTTTGGAAAAAATGAGAATGTTGCAAAAGAATTTTATTAAAAAAAACAAGGCCAAATGTTTCAGTGAAATTTTCAAGGTTATGATACTGAAACAGGTACTTAAATTTTGTTACTAAATGTAGTTGTTATCCTTGTACAAAACTACTTCACAAGATAGATTTCTACGAGGTAGTTTCAATAATAGTCCAATTATAATTATTCTTCAGCCTTTAATTTTATCTTTATCATTCTGTTCCTCACCTGTAATTTCAGTTTAAGGAATTATTTACCCTAATTTTTGTTTCCTGAATCAAAAGGGTATGGACTGAATGAAGTTCCTGTCAAAATAATATGTAATATAGATGCTGACTTAAGGGCCATGAAAGGCAGGTGACAGAGAGAAATGAAAGCCACACACTGATTACAAACCTGTGAAGGTTTTCTTAATTACTGTTTGTGGGCTCCTGGGAGGACTTTGTTTTCTTCTTCTTGGTAGGTAGGATGGCAGGCCTTTCAAAGACTAGCTGTCACACAGTTAAGACAGGATGCTGCACACTATTTCTTACGTGTAGAGTGAGTCCCAGTTTGAGATATTGCAGAGCCACTTTCCATATAGACAGTTAACTGAGATAAAGGTAGGTCCTTCACCTGTGATGGAGAGCACAAGAATGAATATAAAGTATTTGTCTGCAGTGACTATCATATACTTTATTTTACAAATTTTATGTTAATTGACATCACAGTTAAGTCATGAAAACTGGACACACTTTTCCCCAGTCCTCCTTCAAGTTCACTGAGGGCTAAGTCCATTGCTAAGGCACATGCAAGACCAACCATCGAGGTCTATCTTAATTGTGTTTTGTTGTAGATTGTATTTTTATCTCAGTGTAGTTTGGTTTAGGAAAATCATTGAAATTTGCCCTTGGGAGGTAATTGGGAAATACCTACGAGAGAAAAAAGTGAAACAAATAAGTACCACTGTTTTACCTTTTCCCCATGCCAGCCTCTGTCGCTTGCATCTCCCAGGCTTTGTCACCATCCATCTGATCTCCTTTGGAAGAAAGGGTTGTGTCCTCATTTAATTTTATGATATAGGAAGTATGTTAGCATAAAATTTTTGGTGGCAGAAGAAACCAGAGAGATCATCCTTGCATACATAGTGCGATAGTAGTACTGTAGCTTTTTAGATGTAAATGCTTGCTTAGTACCTGTGGAAAGTGCTTTCAGTTGCCTACCTGTCACCTGTAAAGCTCAGAGGCTGTAAACATTACAAATAACGATCAAGGTATTGCAATTATGCCATTTATTTTTTTTTTTTTAAAGATCCATTTCATTATAAAGATCTCGATCTTAGCCTTTAATGTGAACTTAACCTTTACAGGAATGGGAAGATACAGTTATCTTACTCTAATGTTTTGTGCTTGTTAGCAAAGTATTATGTGAAATTCTATTCTCTTGTTTCTAGGCAAAGCTCAGATGTTCCCTCTGAAAGATTTTTCTTCCCCAGGGGGTGTTTCCTTAGCACGTTTTACTGTCCCTCTATTTAAGTACTGTGTATTTGGTGATAATTATGTTTACCAGTCTTTCCCACTGGGGGAGTTGGCGGGGGGGGGGGGGGGTTTTTTTTAAAAAAA